CAGGCACTATGACTCCACATCATGTTTCCTCCTCAGAGCAGCTAGCAGACATTCTTACCAAACCACTTCCGCCAGTTCCTTTTGAGTACTTATGTTCCAAGCTGCCCCTCGTCTCCGTTGATCAGCTTGCGGGGGATATTAGGAAGTATAATTAAATTAGGATACTTCTTTCCTTTCCTACTAGGATTATTCTTTCCTTTCCTACTTGTACTTTGATTACTCTTGTATTCCCTATATATAGGGTCATAACTCTCAATATTCAATAAGACAAGTTATTATCAAATTGTATCAAAAGCCTCTATCAGTTAAAAGTTTCTACTTTTCTACACAAAAGCACCATTAAGGTGACACATACTCTGTTATCGATTTCTCGGTGGGGAATAAAATCAAACACCTTCGCTGCGTAAGTTTTTTAGACATAAAAATGCACACAGAAACAAACAATGAACTGCGCCAATTCAAGCCAGATAAACGGGAACTCACCGGGAGTGGAACCAGCTGCAAGGGAAGTTCCAAATCGGCCAGAATTCAACAGACCTAATGGAGATCTGGAAGAGAACGCCCTCTTGCTTGAGACAATTGCAGCATCTGAATGTAAAGAAAAGGCAAGAAAAGGAATCAAGGTTCTTACTCTTTTTCCGAACGAGAAAAAAAAAAAGTATGCGTGAGAATTACCGCGGGCGGAAATGAAATGGGAGCTGGATATTTGGAGGACGGCGGTGGCCATGTCTGCCGGTAAAAGAGTTAGGCGGTGGCGGGGGATTATTACTCTCTCTGGCCAAAATTAGCCCCTTTCTCGGCTCGGCTTGTGGATACAAATAAAGCGCTCAAGCGGAATATGTTGTCAAACGTGCCTTATCCGAGCTAGTCTTGTGTTAATTTGAAATGTATGTACCCATTTAAAAAATGTTATACTCCCTTTCCTTTGTCCCAGTTTATTTGTCTAATTTAATTTTTTTTGAGTTAAATTAGATAAATTTTGAGCTGAAATTAAATAAAAATCATAATGTATTTTAACATAAAAATTACTTTATTAGACTTATCATATTAAGAATTTTTAAAATTATATTTCATTATGCTAATATGCAATATAAATTGAAAGTAATTGGAGTTCAAAGTTTGTCCACTTTGAATTAAAAAGTCAAACTGGACAAATCTACTGGGACGAAGATAGTATATTTTAGTGTAATTGAAATAACTATTTGATCAATGGCATATTAGCATCATTATAGTCATCAAAGAAGTTTGGTGCTACGGAGTACACGCTTCATTGAGTTTGTTGTCATAAAAGTTTCGTTTTAACGAAGTTCTAAGGGGCAGTTCCCCCGAGAGTGAGGTTCAAGGTGCGGTAGCCCCTGCGAGGTCCAAGGGGTAGAACCCCGAATGAGGTCGAAGTTTGGGTATAAAGAATTCCCGAAAAATGCCTCTTCCAATTTTAGCATGGCTAGACGCGAACTTTATCAGAGAGACGTGACCACATTTCTTCTTCCTCTCCACTTCTATAAGAATCTGGCAAGACTTGATCGAAAACACAGAAGTTTGAACGTTCATCACAATTCATACTTGTTCATAATCAATTATTTGACTATTATTCGATTGAGTTTTGGATTGAACGCCCAAAATAATCAATCTGAAAGTGTTATCATGACTCTCAGATCAATCCATGTTATTTAAATTCCCTAACAAAAAAACACGGAGTATGTAATTAATATTCATTATAATTACACAAATTGTATTTTCGTCGATAAAATAATACATGGGTAAGAAACACCTGCACTCTAAATTTTTCATCTTGATTCATCATCTTCATTCTCATCTCACCACATACACTTGTATACATTCTGAATTGTTGACATTCTCCAAATAAAAATAATTTTCTTTATTTAAATTTTCTAATAATTATACAATCTCTATATGTTTATATTAATCCTTTATATAAAAATGTACTCCTTGCATCATAGTGTATTTATTTAGTTTGACAATTTCGAGTCAAATATGATGAATTTTGAGTTTCAATTAAACAAAAATGTAATACATATTGGTATAAAAAAGTGTTTATTAGACTTGTTTATGTAATTGAGTTGGACATAATAAAAAATGATATAGTATATTATCACATGGCATGCCAATTGGCAACACATGAAATAAAAAAACACATAAAATGATATTTGTTAGGATATGTTTTAGGGTTTGATAGTTTTCCTATTTTTGTTATAGTAAGAATAGAATTATGAATTATGGTAGGCATAGAACTTTACTTATTTGTTTGACTCTCTATCTATATAAAGAAGGTTGAATCTTTGTAATCTTCAAGACAATTCAATATAGAATTATTCTCCATTATTATTTTTCTACAATATTTGATAAAAGAAAGCTTATGTGGCTACACATGACATGACACTTGACAAAAAATCTTACATGGCATGACACATGGCGCAACTATAATTAATCCGCTCTATTATATATACATATGATTTAAGAATATCAATTTTAAATATTACTACACATACATCAAATTATTTTTACAAATCAGGATTTTACAAGAAATACCTTTCAAACTTTTTAAAAGTCAAATCTTAAAAATACCAATTTAATACTACCTCCGTCCCGCTATATTCGTCCACTTTTGACTTTTGAGACTGTTCATCTAAGTACTTTGACTCATCAAATTCTCTCAATGTGTAAGCCTAAATATAGTCATGTATGATCCTGTTTGATTTGTCTTAACATATAGATTATTAATATATAATTTCTATAATTTTTTAATATACAAATTACAAGATAAAATGGATTAAAGAAGTGCATTGGATGGTGTGCAAAAATGAAAGTGGACAAATATAGTGGGACGGAGGGAGTAACAAAATACTAGTTTGTATAGTTCGAGCAAAATAGCTAAGTATATTCAAATAATAACATTTGAAATATTTTTACAAATATAGTAGTAGAACGAGAAGCCTATGCAATACGGTTTTGTATACACATCGAGTTTGAGAGAAAAGGTGAAACAGAATTGACAAAAACTTTGATGATATAGAATATGAAAGAATGACACAGATGGACTTCCAAAAAGCTCTCCAGCAAAGTGCAACAAATGATAAGAGGGGTTCAAAGAACGAATAAAACGTATATTTATTTGATTAGAATGACTATTAGGATTTAAGCTTTGTTTAAAGAAAAACTTCACAACATTCTTATGGCTTGTAGAAGGATATGATATATTAGGAGTAAAATGACTTAATGTTTTTATGGCTATATATATAGGCTAGAAAGAACAGCAAAGTTATTGCAATATGAAAAGGAGTTTTGTGATGAAAATGAATGAACTTATTTATAGGTAGTACTTGTATAAACAACCAAGAATGGTTATCTCATCTTGATCAAAATATTATAGAGTAATTTGAGAAGATTTTTACATCTCAAAATTGGACTAGCATTATCCCATACAAAAGAAGTGCAAAACTTGATCTACATAAATATTTCAAGAATATAGAAAATTATATTGAATGATGTGGGAAGCGATACGGAGTAATTTAATACTCGGAGTACTCCGTATGTTAAAGTACCCTAAAAAGTAAAAACTCCCAAATAACCTAAAAATGAATCTCCAGAGTTTTCATAGAAAAAATTGATCATGGGAGAGTTCAGATATTTTTTGGAAAGTGAGATCAGCAAAAGAGGACCTAACGCTGCAAAATGTGCGTGATTGAAAAAAAAATTACAACTCTATAAAAAAACTCGCCCAGAAGAGGGAATTATCAAATAATCAATGAAAGTGTACGCATAAATAAAATTATAGAGATATACTCCTTCCATGGAATAAATAACTTTTCAAGTACTATCACGACCTGGTAACTTATACTCCGTATTTGTTTGCATATTTTCATCAATCATTTATAAGATTAAATATTCTTGTCGTATTTTGTTTTGAAGAACTTTTGATGTAGTTTTGAACAATTTAATATTTACCGTTTTATGATATAATAATTTGTGAATAAGTTAATATTTCTAAAAATTTAATATTTACTTTACTGTGTTCCCTTCCATATTTTTGTGCAGGTGGAGCCGGGGGTCTCTTGGAAACAGTCTCTCTACTTCCGAGTAGGGGCAAGGTCTGCGTACACACACCCTCCCCAGACCCTACTATTGTGGGATTCACCTGAGTTGTTGTTGTTATTGTTAATATTTCTAAAAAAATACTCCGGTAATATTTTGCATGTTGTCCAAAACAAGAAATTTATTGTTGGAAAGAGGGACAAATATTGTGCCAAACTGCCAAAGTAGTAACTGAGTATGAAGGGTAAGTGAACTGGTAGCCAAGCAAGGCATCCCAAATAAGCTCTGTTCCGGTTAGACGCTACCATCCCTTCCTGCTATGCAAACGCTACTTTTCCCGGCGGCTCGTTCCGGCGGCGCGCCTCTTCATTTTCCGATGATATCGCAGGTGGTGGGGAAGCCCTCGGCCCTCAATCTTCTCCAGCACAAAGCTTCCGTCGTTCCTCTCTCCTTGTCACCGACTCTAGCTCCCATACCGATTCGGAATGTCCTCTCGCCGCCGCATCTGGCACTCAATTGCAGAGAAGGGGTTAGAGTCCTCGCCGCGGCTAACTATTCTCCGATCGAGGATATCGAAAAAGCGAAGCTCGCTCAGGTTTCCTTCTTTCTACTGTAAAATTCCGCTCCTTTAGAGTATATATAATTCAATTGATTTAATTTTAAATGGATGTGAATGCAATTTCTGCTTGTGAACTTGGGAGAAATGTTCGGGCACTTGAATTTTCTGGTTAGGGTTAGGGTTTGGGAGAAGAAGCGTTGATAGTGTCTAGCCGCTAGAAAAATCAAATTGAGATTCAATGCATGTGGAGATGTGATTTTCATATGAATTAAGATATCAATGTTTGTGATTGTCTGGCTTGTGAGGTTACAAAACCACTGAAAAATGTGAAATTGAAAAGATCAATAGAGCAAATCCTTTTTATTGGGTTCAATTAGTTTTATCACTTTTTGGAAGATCACATCTGAGGGTTGATTGTGATGAGATGTGTTCTTGAAGCAATTAAATTATAAGGGCTATACATTTTAGGATGATTATTCATCTTGCATAGTTGCATCGTTGATCATTCGGATAGAAGCTGATTGGTATGCGTTGAGTTTTCTATAGGTCTCAGAGAGATTGGAGAGTACTTCAAGGTATTTCAAGAGATTAGGGGGGTTAGGGTTTTGGGGGCAGCTGGTTTGCACACTTATTGCAGCCGGGATACTTTCTTTCTCCATTGCCATGACTGGGAAGATTTCATCACCCTTTACATTTTACTCTACTGCTGCGGGAATCACTGCTGCCTTTGTTTCTGTTTTCTGGTCTTTTGGTTATCTTCGTCTGTCTGAGAAGCTTAAGAGAACGGCCAGTCAGCCTTCAAAGGTAAAGGTCTCCTTTTCGACTAACAATTACTTCAATTGTTTTACAATATTTCTGAAACCATTTGCATGAGTGCATGCGAAGAATGTCCTCAGGCTAGTTACATTGTATTCATTGACTGATCAGCGTTACCTCATTTTCTACTGATATCTTGTGTTTTTAGGCACCTCCCAGGGAAGATGTGGTGAAAAGCTTGAGAAATGGGATCGGGTTGAACCTTTTTGGAATGGGTGCCACTGTAATTGGTATGCAAGCCACTGTAGGGATGCTGGTAGGGAAGGCCATTACTGCATATCCATTTTATCAGGGTGTTGCTTCTGGTAGTACTCCTGTGGTTGCACTGGATGTGTTTCTTGTGCAGGTATGTTTTCTTTGTCCCATTTTGCAGGCATAGGCTGCACTGCTGCATTCAATAAAATTACCTCTGTTCTAGAA